CTAAGAGCAGTTGGTGGCCGACCACTGCACCACTAGGGCTCCTGCAGAAAACATATCCTAAAACTAAATCCACTGCCAAGTTGATCCTGACGCACAGCGACCGTACCTCGGGTTTTCGAGGCTGTAAATGTTCATGGGAATAGCCTCATGTTTCTTCCACAGGAGCAGCAGCTGGGTTTGAACCACCCTGAGGAGTCCACTGCTTACCCGACGGCTCCCCCAAAGCCAAAAAACCACAGGCCCCTGGTTCTCTCACCTCCAGGTTCCCTTTGGCACAGTGGCATGTTAGAAGGAAACCAGAGTAACTTCCTAGTTTTGAAGCTGTGGGGATGCCCCGGGAAGAGTGCAATGGTTTTAGGCTATGATCTATTTGGCCCTTTCACTGAGATCTCTCTGTTCTCTTTAAAATAAGCCCCAAGCTGGAAACCCTAAATATTAAGGTGAATATTCACTTTTTTTTTCTTTCCATTTATATGATCACTTCATTATCCGTTGCCACAGGCAGGGGAGACAGAGGGGTTCTGACGACTGGGTTGGGAGCCTGGGAATCTTTGGAGCAGCAGAATGTCTCATTGTTTTACTGGGGAGTGGTTAGTTAGGAGCATTGAACTGTTGATCTTGCAGTTAGTAGCCCCAGGCATAACCTGGGCTCACTAGCTTACTCCTTCCATTATTAATTAATAACAATATTGACAGAAACTATTTGTCTCTTAGAAACTCGACATTTGCTAGGATCCCAAGTACATATTTTAATATGTATTTTGCATCTTATACTTTACGTATTTTGCTCCGAATTGTATCCCTTTTTAAAACGGATGCCATCTCTTTCTTTCAGACAAGAGAAGGTATTTTTGAAGACTGGAGGGAAGTGGGGGTGGGGGGTGGGTGTCGATGCAGCCAGAGCCCACACTCACCCTCCCGGCAGAATCAAAGTAGCCTTCGGCCAGGGATTTGTTATAATCGGCATAAGGATTCGGGAAGGCCCTCTGAGCCATGACGCCGGAAGCGAGCCTGCAGAACAGGGGAAGAAGAGATCCTGGGTTGATGGGGGGTCTTGCGGGAGCTGAGCGGCCGGCGGGAACACCACCTTTCCTCTAGCTCCCGGGGCACCGCGCGGCCTCGGCGGTCCGAGTGGACCCCGACCCGCCGACGTCCGGCCCCCCCGGGGCAGAACCACCGCGCCATGGCTGCCAGGGCCCCGCACCCACCGGGAAAACAGAGCCCCGCTTGGCACCCCCGCGCCCCCACGCCCGCGATCTGCAGCACGCAGGACTTCAGCTCCCCAGCTCACCAACCCAACCCAGCCTCTCAGCCAGCAGCCCCGGACCACGGGAGGAACGGGGGTGTTCACCGCCCACTTCCTGCCAGCACAACCAATCACAGCCTTCGCAGGCCCGGAGGCCCGCCCCCTTTTCTCTTTTCGGTTTGTTAAAGAGACAGCAGCATGATGTTCAAAGTGGTACCTCCCTCCTCCCCGTGCCGTCCAGTGGACGCATAGTGGTGACCCTACAGGACAGGCTAGAGCTGCTCCTGTAAATTTTCGAAGGACTAGGAGTCGAAACTCCATCTGTCTTCCGTGGAGCGGCTGGTGGTTTCGAACTGCTGACCTTGAAATTAGCAGCCCAAAGTGTAATCACTACGCCACCAGGGCTCCTCAAAGTATCAAGGTGTGATTTAATTCCTGGGGACCCCAGTGGGTACCTGTTGTAAAAGAACGTGCAAATGTGTCATATATTCCTTTATTTTATTTTATGAAAAAATTCAATTCCAGATGTTTCATATGTTTTGTTTTTAATCCAGAGAAGGGAAAATACTGGTTTGAGTTCAGAACATCTATTTTTACTGTTTGGACTATGTGCGGAGAGGGGACCCAAAGCCCATCTGTAGGCAACTGGACATCCCCTTACAGAAGCGTCGCGGGGAGCA